CCTGGTTCGTTAAGTAGAGATAGTCTTTGCTGGTCGATCCATCTTTTTAGTTTCCTGTATCCGGACTTGTCTGTTCTGATATTGTTAGTATAGTCGTGAGATCTATATGTAACGGAGCCATTTCAACTGTCTGGTGTATGAGTACACACAGGGCCCGGTTACATGCTGAGAGTTATTGTTAGAAGCCAGTTGCACAGTGACATGCAAGTACCGGCAGTGTGGTTAGTTACCAGCTGTTAGAGTAATTACATTCTGAGCGCTAGGAAGAGGATCTACTCATGGGAGCAATGACTGATGAGTCTGTGCCTCCCCAATGACTAGAAGGTCAGCCAGAGTGAAGCTCTGAGTGCTCGGCGATCCTCTACATCCTCTGAGCATTGGAAGTCCGCCGGAAGTGGAAGGGACTATGCCTGGGAAGTCTACAATAAGCGAAAGCTCTACAGCAATGATTAAGCTTACACCTGAGCGGTAGCTCATTCATGCAGGTCCCGGTTGTGTGAGAACCAACACTGCAGGTGTTACAGAAGACTTTGACTAAGGGTGGTTGCCTTCGGAAGAGGAAACATCCGCTAAGGCTTAGAGAGAAGTGGGTTAGGGGTGGTATTGTTTCCTTTCCGCTAGAAGGAACCACCGGAAGTTAGTAAGGAAGTAGGAGCAGTGGAACGGAATCCTTTGGAGTATAAGTACTCAGGATCCTTCCCGCCCGACTATACAATTTCTCCAGTCTTCATCAGAACTATCAAGTGTTTTTTACTCGGTAGCAGAGCACTTAAAGATTATTGAGTTTTATGGGAAAGAATCATTGAATAATCTAAACCTGATTTCTATCTTGCACGGCCAAATCTTTCTATCGGATTCTAGCGATACGAGGAAAGACTGTCCCCGTTACATGTTCTATTCCCAAGCGATGATATAGTAAATATATTGTGTTGTAGTCTCGCAGGGTTCGGAAGTGTCTTGTAGCAAATGTAACTTTGGCAGAGCACTTACAGACCAGCTGTTTCGGGTCATAAACCCATCCTCAGTGTGCTTGGAAACAATCAAATAGGCGGGAAACACAATAGTTTATTCAAGAGAAACAAAGAAACAAGTCCCGAAAGAAAACTAGTAAACATAGACTCTAACAGACACATTTTCTATCAGATGATTTCATTGTCCGAGTCTTGCTTAGGCTGCACGACGGAATCTTCTGTAACCTCTGGGAGTACAACAAGTGATTCCTCTGCTGTAACAGCAGCTACTTTAGCCTTCTTCTGAGGATTGGGCTTGACCTTTCCTCGTTTCCGCTTTTGTACCCGTACTGCTTCCACTCGGACTATAGTAGGTTCCCTGTATGAACAATCGGTCCATTTGTTTCTGGACTTGCCGCACTATTTGCACAAGTCAGTCTATCCACTCTACCAATAGGGAGTACCGGAAGGTCATACCTTCAAGCATACTTCTGCTTTCCTTCTTTCTTCTAGGATATCCCCTGCAATACCCTGCAGTTCCACCGCTTTATCTTTGGAACCTGCTTCCTTCTGAGGTTTTGAGGAGCTTGCAGCTTCTCTCCTCCTCTTGGGGTGCCGTTCCTTCTCAGCAGGAAGATCCTTCTTGGTCCTGGCGGGTGCTCTCTCAGCTACTACCGTCTGGTACCTCTCATGGGTGTGTCCTAGCTCTCTTAGAGCAGCTATCCGCTCCATCAAGGACTTTGACTTGGGGGTAAAGAGGGCCCAACTCATGCCTAGGTCCGGAAGGAGGGAACTAAGGATCTTATCATCCACTAACTGACCCTCATAGCCAGTCTTCCACATCAGCTGAATAATACTATTCAGGAAGGAGTCTATTCCTCCCTTGGCTGTGTGGGTGAGGGTGTTCCACTGGGCTACAGCATCATCCCTAGAGATGGCTTCGTCAAAGGCTGCTCTGAGAGCATCCACAAAGGAATCCCAGCGCTTCCATCTCTCATCCAACACCACAGGCATCCCAGCTATCCGGTTGGCAGAAGCTTGATCAATGGAGTTGTGGTAAGCTTCATACCACTTGACCGGAGCATCTCCTTCCATCGGGTTACCAGCATAACGTATCCTAACCTCTTCAGAGGTGAAGGAGTATCTCTCAATAGAGAAGACATTCTCACATTGCCGGATAAAGGTCGCCACATTGTCTGCTTTGCCATTGAACTTGGTCAGAGGGGGTGCCTTGGGTTTTCGGGCCCTAGAGGCAGCGGAGGGGTGCGAAGGGGCTGGAGGTCTCATGAACTGAGACATGGAGGCCAGACGCTCCTTCTGCTGCTTCTCTAACTTCTTCCTGAGGTATCTCCGCCATCCTCTTCTGTCACCATGCTCAGGCTCCGAGTCTGAGCTGTCTGAGTCCCCTCCTGGGTTGGGAGCGCCGCCAACCGGGGGGACTATTCCATCTCCCCCACCATTACCCGCTGGTTCTGGGTTCTGGTTTTCTCCACCAGGGTTTCCTTCTGGCTGGAGGTTCCTCCTAGGTGGCTCCGGGGGTGGTGAGCATCTGTGGCATTCTGGGGATAACCCCTGGCGAACCCAGGCTAGGGGGAGCCCAGAAGGACCACTCCTAACCGGTGTCTGTGAGTAATAGTCATCGTCTCCTATAGGTTGACGGGGGGGCCTAGCCAGGCCTCCTGCCAAAGGGCTTGCTGTAGCTCTTTGAGGAGGCAGAGGTGAGCCTCCAATAGCCGATGGCATCATCAGGGGAAGAGTCCTCTGCCTGATAGACCTGACCGGATACGCTGCAAAGTGGTTCACCCTCTGGTGGAGGGTTCTCAGGGCCGCTCTGGATGAGGCCCTGGAGTTCTGCGGAGGAACGGGGTTGGGGACAGGTACTAGTGTGGGCATCCTGGTGATCGAGAGCCTTCCTTCATTGATGGCTCTCTGAATTTCTTCTAGGAAATTCGGAGGCATTACCGGGATTGTCCACTCGATATCCTCCATTTCGTCCGTTCCTAGGCCATCCCTCTGGGCATAGTTCTGAAACTGTGCCTGGACTGAGGAGACCTGTTCTAGCATGTAGCCGGAGGCATCCCTGAACAGGACTGCCTCCGCTTCTTGTTTTTCTTGCACCAAGGCTAGCGCATTGCCAGCCTTGATGACTTCCTGTTGCACGCTGTGCTTAAGGTAGCTCTGCAATTCCGCAAAGAAGTCCTGTAGGGTGACTTCGTCGGTATCTTGCCAAGTGGGCTCACATCCTGGGATGTAGGACTGGAGCGCCGTCCTAGGCTTGTGGATCAACTGTGTCTGACCCTCTTGGAATTCTAAAGCTGCCGGTTGCCATTCAATCTGAAGGGGCACTTGGGGAACCGGGAGGGCAGACATGTCGTAAGAGGAAGAATAATCTGAAAGTGACTTGAGCCTTCAAGATTATCTGTAATGGGGACCGTCTTTCTACGTATCGCTAGAATCCGATAGAAAGATGTGGACATGCCAGTGCATGATAGAAATCAGGTTTAGATTATTCAAAGATTCTTTCACTTAAAACTCAATAATCTTTAAGGGCTCTGCTATCGAGGAGAAAAATACTTAATAGATTCGATGAAGACTTGGGAGAAACGGATAGTTGGGCAGGAAGGATCCTGAGTACTTATACTCCAAAGCATTCCGTGCAGCTGTTCCTACTTCCTCACTAAGTTCCGGTGATGCCTTCCAGTGGAAGGGAAGCAATACCACCGCTACCGCGCTTCTCTCTAAGCGTTAGCGGATGCTTCTGGTTCCGAAGGCAACCACCCTTAGTCAAAGCCTTTTGTAACACCTGCAGTCTTGGTTGACGCACAACCGGTACCTGCATGAATGAGCTGCCGCTCAGGTGTAAGCTTAATCGTTGCTGTAGAGCGCTTTGTTTATTGTAGACTTCCCAGGCATAGTCCGTGCCACTTCCGGCGCACTTATCATGCTCAGAGGATATAGAGGATCGCTGAGCATTCAGAGCTTCACTCTGGCTGGCCTTCTAGTCATTGGCGGGGCATAGACTCGTCAGTCATTATTTCCATGAATAGATCCTCTTCCTAGCGCTCAGACTGTAGTTACTCTGACAGCTGGTAGCTAACCACACTGCCGGTACTTGCATGTCACTGTGCAACTGGCTTCTAACAATAACTCTCAGCATGTAACCGGGCCCTGTGTGTACTCATATACCAGACAGTTGAAGTGACTCCGTTACATGTGAAGAGAAAAGGAAAGAAAAGGAATCAAGAAATAGCAAAGGACAACACCCCATTATATATCCAATACCCTTGTCCGATGGTGACTCATACTTCTGCGTAACAAAAACTGAAAGAACATACTAGAAATATTCATTACAAATCCTAATCCCCCTGCGCAATACCTCCTCTTCATATTCCAATATATTGCCTAGCCGAACTACATAGCTGCCGTTACAGACAGTTGGATTGGCTCCGTTACAAAACCGGTTTTTTGCTGGCTGATGTACTCAAATTTCTCATTTGATACCCATAACATTTTAATTTCGAGTGACCATAAGTGGCAAACATGGAGATGGTAATGATAGAAACCAACTAAAAACATCCAAATTTGAAAGTGGCCTCCTGCAATGGTATTTTAGCTGTAGGTACTGTCATTACTGAGGAACCCATATATTAGACTCTTTTTCTCTATATCCTTGTGTTTGCGGAGAAATAAGAGTTTAAAGTTGCACTCTCATACATGTTTTGGTTGCAACGTTAATGTTCGCTTACTTATGGAGACCAATAATCAATAATCAATGCCGCTTTGATATTGGTTCTACATTTTTTTTTTCCGACTGGTTCCCCTGAACACTGGGGGTATCATTACGGGAAGAAACACGCACTGATTTCCGCTATTTTATCTATCTATCTCTTATTATTAACACCATGTGAATTCGATATCCCATTTCTGTTTTAACAATTGTTCCCACCTGTGGTTCTTTAGTGCTCCTATCAACTTTTGCCGCTCTCTTTTCCTTGTAACTCTTGCGCCTGGCAGGAAACGTCTATTTTCACCCGCAATACACAACAAACCTCACTTAAAATCCCTGAAATCTAGCATCACATATATCATTATAGAAATAGTTGAAGGCTGAGAACTCTAATAAGAGTTAGGTACTTGAAAATAGCTCAACTAAACATACCGAAACTAACCAAAATTCCACCCTATTAGAGCTCTTTATCTTAGCTGCGTGGCATTTGGCCGTATTTCTACAAATTAGTGACCAGTTTCCAGAGCCCACCGAATGTCCTTTTCCAGGTCTCTCCATAAGCTAACTCGATCAAGCCTATTTATAAGATGTAAGTACGCAGCTAAAACAAAGGGTTGTGAGCATAAAAATAACGCACCTGTAGTGAAGTTCAAACCTCTATCTCCATTTCTAATAGGATAATCCACCACCGGTGGAATCGCAGTACTCAACAAACCAGGGAATATGTCCTCGCAAACTGCCTTCAGATTACAAACCGCCCGTAAACCTTCCTCGCCGGCAAATCGTCCATAACCAGAGCCTTTAACTCCGCCGAATGGGAGTGACTGGTTAAGATAATAAACTCCAAAATCGTTTACTGATACCATTCCGCTTTTCATTTCTTGTACAACCTTTTGGAGATCCCTCTTGTTTCTTCCAAAGACAGACCCGCCAAGACCAAATTCCGTCCCATTCGCGATATCTATGGCATCATGAACATCACCAGCCTTCATTAGCACGAAAACTGGGGCAAATGTCTCATTTTGTGCAATCAACATGTCAGGAGTTACGTCGATGAGAAGTGTAGGTGAAAAGTAATGTCCTTTAGGGTGTTTGGGATGCAAGTATCGTTTCCCTCCTACAAGACACTTTGCACCCTTTTGAACAGCGTCGTGTATCCATTCTTCAAGTTTATCAAAGCCGGCCGATGATATCATTGCACCGCAATCCACTTCATCGCCGTCTAAGATCGATCCGGGCCGGAGAAGCTTTATTCTCTCTTCTAAGATATTAACAAGCCGAGGATAGACCTTTGGGAGTGCGATCACCCGCTCGATACCCACACAGTTCTGAGAAGCACTCTGGAATACACCACGCATGAGGATTGAAGAGAGAATATTCACATTCGGAATATCGTCAAGGATAATAGCCGCATCCTTTCCGCCAAGTTCAATGCAGAGAGGTATTAATGATTTCGAGGCCGAGGCAGCCACGTGGTGAGCCACCGGGCGTGATCCGATAAATGTTATATGGGATATTCCAGAGTGAGATGTGAGATGCGGAGCCACGTCAGGCCAACATGTAATAGACTTACGTAGCATAAGTCAACTGATGATTGTGTCAAATACATAAGGCTTGCGTATATTACCTCTACCAGATCTGAATTGTGTCCGCAAGCTTCAAGCGCACCCTTTACAATTGAGATAAAATAATGGGAACTCCATGCTGTATTTTCACTTCCTTTGACTGTATTCCTTGTTATTTCACAGACCCTTGAAGTACTCGATACAAGAGAACTTACCAATTATTCCATTACCAGCAAAAATAGAACTGACAATAGGACAAAGCAAGTTATGGAACTGCACGTGAGTTAGATACTCCAACGGTTCTAACTATACGTCTAGTGTAAAAACTCACCGGATAACTAAGTGCAAATAGCATGTTAGAGCTAACTCCAGTGGTTATATGTGATATAATAGCATGACTGATCTATTATGAAATATGAAAGAAACGTACTTCCAGGAAACGCAAGCACAGACAACTCCCAAAGGCTCATAACGTACTTCTGCCTTCTTATAGCACATCAGTGGCCATGAAACGGACCTTCTCTCGGGTTTCAATGCGCTCTCTCCGTAACCTAATATCCACTTGATTTTCTCAACTAAAACCAAGATCTCACCCAAGGATGCATCGATACGCGTCTTGCCTGAATCAAGACACGCTGCTTTGATGATTATATCCCTGTTTGAAAGTATATACCTACCGATCCATTAGATTATCAAATACCCAGTAATATATGGATTTAGCTGCTCTATAGACTTACTTTTGGAGTGTCCTGAGGACTCTTTTCCGTTCTTCAAATGATGTTCTGGCCCATTGTTTCTGAGCTACAGCGGATTTTGCAATCGCGTTGTCAATATCTTCTGGAGATGCCGGTGTAACCTCTCCCAGAAACTTTCCATTAGCGGGACAGTAGCAATTGATGTTGTTATCTGTAGTGGTCTTTTATTCGTAAGTTTTGGTAACGTCATCCGGGAACGAGCTTCACTGACCCTTATAGAAGGATTGTCCAGGATATCACCTGTCCATTCTTCGCTGCATTGCTTTGGTATTGGAATTTCGTAGGATACTGCTGCATACTTAAGAGATCGCCAATAGCGAAATACCAAAATCGACGTAATTATAGTGATAACTGAGACTGCGAGAGACTGGGTCGAAAGCAAGGAGTCATCGAAGGAAGATAACGAGAAATTATCCCGTGAGATTGAACAGCCAACCGTGAATCCACTGACGAGAAAGTCGAAAGAGACTCTCATGTTCATTGATTTCTGTATCCTGTGAAAGTACTTTTTCTTGAGCTTAGCTAGACTATCCGTTCTTCATTTAGTACGTGTATGCCGCTAGCTTTGAACCCTGCATCTGGTCCCATAGTTTTCCGGGTAATGTTATGTGTTTAATTACCCTCTTGCTACAATCGAGGAGAAGATCGAACCACTCCAGAAGAACCCTAACCCCTCCTTGATACCTATCGTTACTATCTAGACCAACAACAAGCGATCCCGAACTATACGATAAGGATACAACGCAACGTGAACTTGCCTGCGCATCGAGAACGTGCCTTAGAACTTCATGGATGATGATCTTGCTCGCCGCCTGGCAGCGTTGAGGCACTCTCTGGAGTCAGAGTAAGTAATTGCATACAATACATTATATTACTATTGCTAGCACAATCCTAAAAAGAGTGGGACGCCAATCAATTCCTTTATTAATGAATATTTATAATATAGAAATACCGCTGCACCCATCACTCGGGATTCTGAATCACAATCAAATAATGATCATGACGTCGATGTGTTGGTCATGCGTTTCGAGAAAATGTCCCAGAAACCACCAGTCTCTCGAAGGAGCAAGGGCCTATCGGAAAAGATCGCAAGCGATAGATACTATGGATTTAATAAGGAGTTACCCATACAGGTTTGAGTACCAATTCAGAGAGAATTTGAAGACCTGACACTCTAATCTCTAACCCACCACCCATCACATTCAGGAACTTATCAACGCATTGAGTTCGGAAAGTGAATCATGGACATTGGATGAAATCGATGAGAAGAAGATTGAACAGCTACTCGCGGATATAAAGACACCGACCTCTATACCAGAAGTTAGGAGTAGAAAGGAAGCTAGCGTTGAGGTGGTACCAACTTGGCTGCAAAGCAACATATCTGAAGAAGGCATTAAAAGCGATACAAACGCGGAGGAGGATATTTTGAAAATGATCAAAGATGAGATAGAGTTTGAAAGGGCACACGGAATCAGCATGAATGACTTTGATGAGGAGAGATCGCAAACGCGCGACCGGGAGAGACCCCCTACCCCGAAAAAGACCGAACTTGATGAGGATCTTCTCAAGCGATTTGAAGCTCTGGGGGGGTTGGAACTCCCGCCTGCCCCTAGAATGGATCCGAGAACGAAGCAAAGGTTCGATGTAGACCCAGTCCTGGTGGAATCTGATACATGGTGCTGTAAGTCTTTTCGCTATTCCATATTACAACAGTAATAGGCTTTAAAGGATTCTCACCATATATTTTCTAAATTTGCAGGTATATGTAATGAAGACGGAGAGTATCGGTGCTCAGGCTGCGAAAATGATATATATTGTGCGAGTTGCCTATATGAAGGTACCGCACACGTGGACACCTTGGTGGTCTCCCTACAAATTTATTTTACTCACATGACATGTTTGTAGCACACACAGGGCCGAACGCTGGCTACGAGGAAAGAAAGCACAAATGGACCAAATACACAAAGCCAAAAAAACTCGCACCTTGCTAGCTCTACCCTCACCTAACCGTGGCACCCATTGTAATCCTTCCATCACCTGTCAATCTCCATCTTTTTTCCATTCTAATTTTTAGCCATTGACCAATATGTCGATCATATCACCTCACACGAGATACGTGAACCCCAACCCTAATAAATATACTGGAAGTAAACAAAAAATTCTCTTAATCATATCTATGCGCACACCATCACAACGAAGGTTCGTTGATTATTTTTGCATGTATTCTGTGTGTAATCAGTCATAACTATCATACCAAGTACATCTAGATTGATTTATTAAGCGGGGATTGAAGATTTGGTTGACTGCAATTTGTGTAACAGCCAAAATAATAATGTGTCTCTATAAAAATAAGGAAATTATGAAAAAGGGAGATGCAAATTGATCTTGTTTTGCCGCACAAGTTCGAACAATATGTCAAGTTCCGACTTATGTAGTTATAGACTGGTTCTGGTAGTACCAACCTAGCTATCTTTTTCTAGAAAACCGATTCTTTGTACATGTGGAAGTACATAACTACATTTACCTCGTATAGCTTCTTAGATGCACACTTATGGACCCTTTACCAGGTGCTGAGACATGCATCTTAATATAAGCTTGTCTTATCTCAAACAGCAACAGCAGCACATACGTGCAGGAGGGTACATATTTCTCACCCATACACGTACATACATGTGTCTCGAGACGTTCTATTGATCTGTTTCTAAGTTGCACGGGTCCTAACATATTGAAAGCTCCAACCAAGCCAAATATAATGCGATCATGGATATAAGCAAAATTTGAGCTACATAATTAATTACAGATAGTACTGGCGGTTTGGATGGATCTAGAGGAAAATGGGGTGATTGATTCATTTCAAGGGATCGGGGGACGGCTTGCAAGTATAATTTCTATTATTACGATCGGTCCACGGGGGCGAACGCTAGCGTCCTCGTGTCTTTGCCCCGAGGACATCGCCTCGGGGGTATATATACACGGCCAGTATTCTATGAGGTGGATTTAATACCACCAAGACCAGTATACTGTCACGAGCACTGTGGTTGGACAAGATTTCATTTTGACACTTTTTTGTGAGAACAGGGTGCTCCTGACGCTGACGAAATGCTGGACAAGACAAAAAAATGACTGACAAATACATTTTAAAATGGGACAAACTCTGCTGTGAGTTTTTTCTTTAACCACCGGATTGATCGCTTGCCTAATGAAGGTACAGAGGGCGTACGAGACGGAACGCAGGAGAAAATCCCTAGCCATGCACCCATGAGTGTCAAATATAATGGATTTCCCTAATCCTAACTACTGACAAAGGAGTTGGGGGACACAAAAAATATGGGACAGACCCCCGCTAACACTGACGAAAGACCTGAAAGTCTAAGACAATCTGAGGTCGCTGACAACTGACGTCCCAACCACAGTGCTCATGACAGTATATGCCCTATACATGGCCAGAGACTTTGTGTTTTTGCTAATCATAATATTAATGTTTAGAAATTGTCATATGGACAATATGGATTAGGCCCTTGGAAGAGAACAAGATCATGCTATGTACTAAGCTAAGATCAAATCTACTGGGAATTCTCTATCAACAGCGTGCTTCCATAACTTAATCAATCCCCAGTTTGTAATATTCATAAACTCAATATACAGGTCAGCCTCAAGAAATAACGGCAATAAAACAAAATGCAAACGCTAGGGGATTTGAACTAGAGTCAATCTCACTCAATATCCTATTATGCAATTAATGAATTAAACAAAATCAATATCCTATTTATTTACTACGTCATCACTTCCAGAGATCAATGATTAGTATTGCAAGATATTCCGGATCTTCTACCAAGTCAACGCAGCACGTGACCCACAAAATTGTCGGCATTGCTAGTATCAAGTCGCAATTCGAGCTTACTTATAGGCCGCCTGGAATTTCGGTCACGTGTAGGTGAAATAATGAGAACAGAACAGTTAATTGTCTTGGCGCCCGGACCGAGTGATCAATTCGGCTTGACTCCGAGCTCTCGAGACTTTCCCCAAGCTACATTACCAAAAAAGCGGGTGGATCCAGTACCATATCTGGCAAAAACCGTAGGGTTACGGTATTGTTGTGGTATTACTACGGTATATAATATTTAGTACTCCGATTTAACTCGGAAGTTTACATAATTCCAAGTACTATAAGCAATTGGGATCGCCTAAAGATCGCGATGCTTGATTTGATTGTCTTTGCTTGTAATTTTATACAAGTCCTATCAGAATTCAGACAATATAGAAATTAATTCCGGATTCTTATATAATATAAGTACTTTTTATATATATCAACTATAAGCTATAAAAGAATACATTGAAAAAGTTTTGCTAAAACCTAACCCTACACCTAGCGCCCTCACTACTAATTAGATTCAATGGATACAGCAGGTATCAATCTCATGGGTAACATACAAAAAGGATAGGTGAGGTAGCCTCGGAGCTGATGGGAACGTCTGCTTCCATAAGGGCCCGGGCATCTGTACTCATGTTGTAGGAAATCAATCACATGCACAGGTACTAGAAGGGATCTGAATTCTGCTCCTCGTATATATATGCATACGTACCTATGGACCGGGTCCTGGCATATGGTCCGACAGCGATCTCCCAGAGCTATTGTGAGATATTCTTCATTCACTGGCAATTAGAATTACAAAGATCGGCTCTGTGTGGTGTCTGCCTTGTACGAATTGTGAGGTCTATAAATCACTTAGAGCTAGCGGAGCTACCACATATTGGAACATCTAGGTACGGTATATACATGTAGTACCGATATTTCTGGGATATACGCCCATGGGCTTAAAGCAAAGTGGTAGGAAGAAAGTCAAGGAAAACCGGTGGTGTATGCATATTCCCGTGACTTAGGCCAATCAGCAAGCATTTTTCGACCAGTACTTTGCTTTAAGCCCACGGGCGTATATCCCAGAAATATCGGTACTCAAATATTGTATCCGGTTTTGAAGTTACCCGGGCGGGGTCTTCAAGCTAGCCTAGATCGTGTATGGAAATTATGAATTATAATTAGAATGTGCTAATCTCATTGTCGAACCAAAACCCAAGACCGGACCCCATATGACCTGGGAAATACCGGTATGTCAAATCTTATTCCTGGGATTCGTAGTCTTGACATGCAGTGGCTTCTTCGGCGTTTACTTCCTCTTGCGGCAACAAGCATCAACAGTGGCAATTCTTTGCATGCAGCGGTACGGAATTAAACAGGATGAACCAGCACCTCGGTACCTAAGAGATCTGGTACTACTCGACAGGGCTGATAAAACTCGATCGGATGTAGCCTTATGGAAAATGATGAACGGCCCCCAACTGTTTTCGAGTGGGGGCGCCGAATGCTTCACGGACATGGTCGATTAATTGGGCCCCTCATTCAAGGGGAGTACTATGATTACTACATGCTATTTTCCATTGAACCTAATATAAATATCACAATGTTATCATTCGACCCTCCAGATAACTATACCCTATTATAAATAGCCACTCATTTTAAGTAAAAAAAAAAAAAAAAAAAAAAAAAAAATAAGACATAAAAAGATCTTTCATTAATGCCGATCCCCAACAATCCACAAAAGTTTGAGAAATAAAAAAAGAAAGAAAGCCGGGAGGATCAAGGGAAAAATATTCTTATAACGATCAGACAAACTAGCCCCCTTAAGAGAAAAAAGCGAAAAGGATTACCCCATATAGTAAGATCTGGCGCTCGAGCAAGCAAAGAGAAGGAAAAATCATTCCAGTAACTGAAAATGGAGAATAACAAACCAAAAAATCAAGGTCCACATAAAAAAAACACCTTCCAAAAATACATGTTTATACACACAGCCAGCACGCCAAACGCAATGGAAATCGAGCAAAAGGAAATAAGAAATGGAAATATCAGTGTTGCGGTCACCGCATATTGGGATTCAAAGGTAAAGAGGGATTTAGGAGACAACTTATGAGATTTGTTTCAAGTTCCTCGATAATGTGTAAGGATACCTGTGAAGCATTTGGCATACTACCACATCTTGGTTTGGTGAAGATCTCGAAGTCGTCGATGCTCGTTATTTCGGGGGTTAACGACTTCTTCGGCCGGCCTCTGACCGCAGGGCTGTCGATGGTGGTACAGTCTCAGGTCGGTCTTGCGACGGTCCTGGAGTGTTCCATACAGTTTCCCCGCCAAACGGGAACGGTCGTTTGTTTGAATCGCTGAAAACGGCGGCCGCAGCTACAGAATCTTGCCACATACCAGGGGACACGAATGAGTGCGAAACCCCTACAGTTGTAGGCACATAGGAGCTTGATGAAGGTGGACGCCCACCGCCAAGCGGATCAACCAACCCACTTTCATGATGATGTCCGGCTATACCAGAAGGTATAGCTGACACGGAACCATTTATCCCAAACGCAGTATTCCAATTACTAAGAAACCATCAGTATCCTACAACAGTCATCTTTTTTAGGGGAACGAACTCGAATAGTCTAGAAGGATTCCACCCCATGTTGTCTACGATCGCGGGGGGGTTCTGAGTTCCTTGACCTGCTGCTAACATCACTAATGACTGGACAGCTGCCGGGGATTCCCCTTTTGACTCGCCGTCGCCTGTGGAATGTGGTGGAGACAAAGGATGCGAATAATTCGCTGGGCCACCGGCTGTAAGGGTCGAGTGTGGGCTTTCCCCTTGAGTGTAAGCTCGAGTGATACTTGGATCAACTGCTGCTGAAACGCCTGGGTAAAAAGGAAAATTTGGATTCAAAACAAAAGGTCGACTTAGGTCGAGTGAAAAAGCTTGACGCAAAGTCTCAATTTGACCTTTAACCTCAGATGAGGCCGAGCTATCAATGCAGTTTTCTAAGATCCTCATTGTTCTCGTGAAATAATCTTTCGCATCTGAGTTGAATTCTGGGTCCGGGCACGTGGCCGCGATCTGTTAAGGAAGGTCAGCCAAGACATTGGAAGAGCCTATAATGGAATTTCAATTCACCAGATGTATCATAGCACAAGTGAGCAAAGCATATATGGTGAAATTGACACCCCGGAGCATGCATTGTAACCCCAGCATCCCATACTGCTCAAAGACTGTTTCTTCCAATCTAAGCATAGATTTCGCTGCGTTCGTACATATCATCATGTGTGTCTTCCACTCTCCACCCAAAGAGAAAGTCTTTCCGAAGGCCAGCGCGGGACGATGGAGCATTATCCGAGCTAAATGATAATAAATCTGAAGATTTCCTGTGAAGTGGGAGTCGATCTGAGGACCAGGGTGACTAAGATCAGTGACTACCACCACATGAAGATTCGGTGGGAGCTCATAAGCCCAGGTATCCAGGCTTGGTCCGGAATCTAAGAATTGAGGGTCATTCCTCCAGTTTGGTGTAGCCTTAAGCTTTGCATGCACATCATTCATCCGACGAATATTCTTGATAAGCCACACAAAGTATATAAAGTTGCGATATATAGTTACTTCATTCTCATCCAAATCTGGTGAGCCAAGTGGTGTGGTGAGATCAATGCTTTCAGGACTGATCTGCATAATGTCACGGCCTGTCGAGTTGTGAGAAAATGACGGTCCGAATCAAAAATCAAGGGCATACCTTGCGGAGCGCAAATCATAAGTTCGAAAACGAAGCATGCTTGCCAGACACGAGTTCGCGTCATGCAATCGAGGGGGCTCTCTCCGCATCCTACTCCATGCTTATGCAAATCACTGTGTCTATCAAGGCCGAGATCACGAGCCATCGCTATTATACTGACTACGCTCATCCAGGAGCGGAAGAAATAACCTCTTTGCGGCGCAGATTCTCTTGCTTTGAGCAGAAGCAACAAAGCTTGAACCGTACTAAGCCGCGGTACATCGAAAAAACAGTCAACATGTCCTGGACACAGAAGGGTGAGCAATTCGCCTCCCATCTAATTACAAGGATTAGAAACCAACTTGTTGCCATGCTTATCCACTTGAGTCCCTTTGCTGGATCTGTTGTCAATCTGCCAGCACATGCAAAGATTGTTTCAAGAAGTAAAGGTGATATTGAGTCACGCGATGCACTCCATTGTCGATAAAATGCTGCCTTATTGACGATCGGTATGTACGGGTGTATGTGGTTAAAGAATATGCCAAACATTTCCATAGCCTCATCGTCAGTAGGCATGTCTTCAGGCCTTATCTTGACTGCAAATTCATGCTGTCCAGGCATAAACGACGGATTCGGCTCAATTTCCTCCGTCCATGGTTCATATGCAGGTGTCTCCGCAAGTCTTCTTCCTTGGGCCGATATGTAGTTTGCTGATCCGGATTTAGTGTTACACGATCACTCTTTTAAACCAGAAAGACGTAACATACCCACACCGCTATCGTCAATTTTGAGCTGCCCCAATACTCCACTGACATGGGCAGCAGATGCATAGTCGCTCTCGGCCGCCCATTGGTCTTGCTGCCTCATCACGGGCTGTGTCTGGTAAACAGGAGCTTGAAAATGAAGTGGTTCTACAACCTCCCCACCTGTGATTCCCGGATACGCGAGCGTATTCGATGGTCTATGCGATGGTCCATGGTGTTCAGAGGGTGAAAGTGTTCGAAAGGCGGTGTTTCCGTCTCTACTGTGATATCCGGGGACAGTTGTCCTGCTTGTCTTCCTTACGATATGCCCCGAGGCATGTTGCATAAGGTCTTCTTCGCCGCTCGCACTTGAATTCTCAAAATCCCCGTTGGTTTCTTGTTCCATAACAACCTGACTGGGTGCGAAATCGCGATCATACTGTACCATGGGCGGAACGCAGTGAAGTTTCAAGCGTACACAAGCTGAGCAAGGCCATGTATTCGTTGTAGCAGCATCGCATTTAATTTTTCGGCGTCGACATCCTTCGCATGCTCGCATAACTAAACTCTTGGGTTAGTTTTACGAGTCAAATATCTTAATATCAATTGAACGCTAACCCTTGAGCCTTTTGTGTCGGTTGTGTTCATCAACAAAAACATAGTCTTTGGTAATAGTGATAGTTAGCTAATGACCAAAGACACCGACCCTTCTCTCTTTTCAAGAAATTTTTAAATTATATTATTTTTATGTTTGAAGGGGTGAACGGAAAATTATCCAGGGGGAACATACTCCTGTGGTTCTCCCTTTGACCGCCGAGGTCCGTCGGGGAGAGATTTATGCTTTGCTGCATGCTCATTGCTTGTTGAGGTAATAGTCGCCGGGGAACAGAATCGACAGCCACTTGAGGCAACATAGACCGCGAGTATGGAGGATGAGCGTGAGTGAGATGAGTAGGATTGGGGCGACGCAGTGAGGTTCACTCAGTAGAAGGGGAAAGTTCGCGATGCGTTTGAAGCCGATGACTGGCGGGGGGGAGGGGGGGGTGGTGGGAGAGCGGGATTGTAGAGGGCAGGATGCGCAATTGTGCGACAGAGACAGACAGATGTCTAAATGTCCAAATTCTAAGAACGGACAGCTTCAGCAGCGCGGGAACGGAACAAGGAGTACCCTCAGCGGTTGTTTTGCTGTTGCGTTATAAGTTATAAGTACCTCCGTACCACGGACCACACAAGCCAAAAATCTTCAGGATTCCCCACCTCAACAAGAGTGCTTGTGGTACCCGTGATCTAATATGTGCTATGTGCAGTGAAAGTTCCTGCGCGTAGATCAGTGTGACGCACTAGAGACGAGGCAAAGTGCGGATAGTCTGGATGGATGGATGAATGGTTAAGTTGCTTGCTTGAACTCTCTCCAAATGGGAACGTCGGGCTTGTCAGGGTCTCGGGGGGAAGGAATTGCAATTGTAGGAGGGGGGAATTGTTTTGTTATTGGGGTTTTGCCTGTGTTATGGGTTTCTTTTCTTTTTTACTTTTTTCTTCGTTCTGTTTTTTTTTCCTTTCTTTCTTTTCTTTCCTTTCCCGTTTCTCTGTCCCTTTTAATTATAGATTTTCTGAATTGATTTTCTCTTCCCGAAAAACAAAGGAAGGAAGAAAACCGCAAAACAAGTACTTAAGAATTGGGTCGAATAGACGCTTTGGGCAGGAGGGGAGAGCAACACGAGCACCACCACTACTACCACCGCCGTCGTGAGCTGGGTGTTTGATAATGGCAGATCGAATGGCGGGCCCGCCGGAGATGGCAAGAAGAGGATATCAGTTGAACGAATTTGCACGTTTACCAGGTTTGTGCGTATTTCTGTTTCTGCTTGCCGCCGTTGTGCTGCCTCTCCTTGCCCTTCTTCTCCTTCTCCTTCTCCCTCTTCTATGCCTGGGAAAGGGGAAGGGTAACGGGGAAAGGGGACGGATAGAGTGTATATCCGTGGGGGAAAGGCCTTCATGGCCAACCAGTCCTATGAGATCTTGCAGGGAATCAATCTCTCTTTTTCCACTGGCAACCCCCGTCACTTTTCAACCATGCAGTTATGTACATCTGTACTCACATTAAAATGTACATACCTGATTAAGCCGTAACACTGGGCGCTGGCTTCATCCTTCTCTCCTGTCTTTTCCGGGTTCCCATTTATAACTCACCATCCCCCCTCCCTCACCCCCAATTGTTTCTCACAATGCATACATGCCCGTCAATCGCGAAAGGGAGGTACGCCCGCGGGCGATATTCTTCGAGAGGAAGGCTAGTGGGAAAGGCCGTGGGATATTTAAGACAACATTGAAGTTGTCCAGGGCCTGGACATGTATGTACATAAAAGATAATTATTTCCCCATTTGTCCAACAAAGTCCCAAGTTGAATTCAAGAACACCAACGAGACAGTACATAAGAACACTAGATATCAATGGAGGTACAACTCCAGAGGAGACGGTGAATCAATGACCAAACATTTGGGCAAGTGAGTGAAGCGGCGATCTCTCACGTCCGGGGATTTGTCTAAGTATGTAGATACACATACAAGACTGTTCTAGGAAGAGCGCTTTGTCATTGGAGGGTGTGTGTGTGTGTGCGTGTGTGTGTGTGTGTGTGTGTGTAAACTTCAAAGCCCAAGTAGATAGCTGCATAACACGTTGTTTTCATAATTCAAGTCCTTATTATAGCTAGAGCGTTAAGAGTACAGTCGCAACTCGATATGCCGGATTGCCAAGATTCGAAGGATTTCATACGGGATAGCAAAAAATCCGGGATAGCAAATTGATTTTGCAGTAAAAAAAAACCAAAACCCCAGAGGATTTCGTACGGGATAGCAAGGGATCCGGCGTATTGAGATCCGGCATATCGAGTTGCGACTATAGTGTTGTGTTATATCCACTAGTAGCGAACTTAGTACCTATCATAATTCCACCCCCTCGAAACTCCATGTTCGGAGGGAACAAAACCTGTGGTTCGCTAACAAATACCTCTCTCCAAGTTCCATCCCCCCGATAATTCTAGTAGAGCTCGGCCATCGTGGGTGTGGAATTATGATAGGTTTTGCTGTAGATGTACTAACATGTATCTATTCTATCCTCTATCGTACTTTACCTGGCGATTGCATGGCAGTAATTATGAATGTTTACCTGTGCTTACAGGTATATTGAGGTACTTATATAGTGAGAAGAGGCTCTGTTGGATTCTCGTCATGCTCGTCATCAAACATTACTCGACGTAAATGGGGCTCTAAACGAGGAAAACCACGGAGATTTCCACTTGCCGTGTGATGCAAATCTACTTACGAATGTGTACTAAAGGCGTAGTATGTGTATGTAGTAGGAGTAGAGTAGGTACTTTGTAGGTACATACATGTATAGGTACTCTGCTCTCACCTACAACACTACGGGCCACCACCTGCCTCTCCAGAAAACCCTTGTGAATGATCAACGCCCTGTCAATTTTCGTAAGCCTTATGGGTCCGGACCATGGATGAAGGAAACGCATCAGATATGGTAACAGCTAAATTAGCGAATCTGAAGCCAGACCCGAACATGGCGAGGAGGGACTTGGGTGCTACTTAGCCCGAAGTCGACCAGGAAGGACTGGGATAAATACATGCTCAGTAGCCGTGCACGGACTTACTGAGAAGCGGTACTGGGAGGTGGCAGTTGCATAATCGTCTGTGCTTACTTCCCACACTTACCGCAAGCTTTAACTACATGCTGATGGTTGTGGTTGTACCGGGTGGGCTGCGCGTTTGTGGCACGGGGCGATCGAGGGGAAACAAATTAACTCTCCTAGCCTACTGACCCCTAACATTACAGTATCAATTAGTAGAGCACCTACTTCAATTCTACCCTGTATATAGAGTACTTCACTTATCGTACTGTACTGCTACTCTACCATACATACTCTACATGTATCTATATATCGTATCGGTGATATTGTACGGGACACTATCCCAAGTCGCAATGAACGCCAGGAGTCAAGGGATGTCCATATCCTCAGCTAACACTTCAACGTTCACAATGCATACCAGGATGGCTGTCATCATGATCACCATCTTCTTTTCTTAATATTATTCCTCCTTTCTTGCATGCTTTCTTCGCGTGCACTTTTCTAAATTAGAAACCGGGAACATATAGAAGAAGTAAATTATACAGGGTCTGCCTGCCTGCCTGCCTTTATGTTTGCCTACGTACTAGGAAGCCTGAGCGATTTTTGTGGCCACATGAAAATGAGAGCGAGAGGGAAAGAAATAGAGATCGGAGTCAAGGGATCACGCCAACACTTTTATCCCGGCACACTGAAGCATCTCAAGCTGGTTCTAAACACATAATATTATAGTTGGTGGGTAGGCAGAATTAAACTACCCAGGGAGGTGACTTCTCAACCTCACACCCTAACCCACTCACCGAAAGCCCGGCGAAGGGTCCACCAGGCGCTAGCAAAAGTACCGCTAACACCAGCCAGACGAAAGTGTGGGGATCTCGACAACGGATACACTGGAGTTTCTCCGGCATGTATGCGCTTGAACTCTACGAGCTTCCGTTTGAGCTGTCAGACATCCCCTCAACTGATTTGAGCTGGTGCCGTCATATTAGGGGCTTGTATGCGACGTGTCCCCATCACCTATTCATGTATAATGATGAGGGTAACACATGCACCTCGTTATTAAAATTCTTATTATTACATACAGTAGTTTTATACGGTGTCGGACAGCCAAAACCAGCCGGCCAGAGCAACCACCGACTCCCCTTCACCCCATCGACTTTCAACAACGCAACACTTGTCCAGAAATAATGTTCTTTTGTAAAATGGGTCTAATCATAGTTGTAAACATCCCCATAAAAGGGGATTTAAAATAATTAAGACTGGCTGCACTATGACCCCTCAAACATTTGGTGCAATCTGCCCGAAAAAAACATAGGTGTGAAATAATAACTTTAATAGCTTTATGCCAAGGCGGCCACATTAATTTTGGGATAATTCTTACCATATTGGGATAATTAGATGATCATTATTACCCGATTAGGACTAGTTTCTGGCTTGAAAAGAACATGAGGGTTGATTTTGACTGTCCGGCGCTGTACCTATTTATTCCATGTGAATTCATGACTCTGGATATATGCGGTGTGCTAATACACGTATATACTTACATACATCCTGAGTGTCGATACTCATGTACAGCAGTGTGTAATAAGTCATCAGACGACCTAGCCACAATTTTGCCTGCAAACGCGTATTTTGGTGGCGTTCCGTCTGATGACTTATTACCCACCTGTACGTACTGCTGTTATTTACAAAGTGATAATATAATGGTCGCGAATTGCGGGTTTCGTTCACCCCGATAAATCCCAGACTCTAGGGCTACCAGTACAGCAGCCGCTATAGTTTCAAATTGCACGTTGCAGCCCTAGCTTGGGGCACATTTTTATCCCTCTAAAGCTCTTACGAAGATCACGGCGGATATTCCATAGCGGCTGGTACTCGTACGCGTAGTCGAGTTAGATAAGCTTTTGCATACATGCAGACATTCTTGATCTGATCTCGAATCTCGAGCTCCCTTTCAACGATATTCACCTCAAAATAGAAAACACGATCAACAGAAAAAACCACCTAGCTCCACTAGTCTTATTCCATGATCCACCAGTGACTATTTGCACATGTCAACAGCTTATACTCTGCGAACCCTTATAAATACCTCTTGTAATATCTATGTACAGCCGCATTCGAAAAGTACTGGCATCCTACTATATATATTGAGTCGTTCACGAATTGTAGCCACCAACAACCATGGCACTCGCGCATACTCAACTTATTGATAGGTATGACCGCAATAGAGACATTGCAGCTCTCTCTGGCAACTGTCTCGAATATGAGAATTGAAAAGTAGAAAGGACTGCCTCGTGAGTTTGGCTCGGAGGTGCCAATACTTTTTAAATGCGGCTGTATATACTACTAGTATTTACATATATATGTAGGGCGTTTTGTTATCGATAAGGCCGATAGACATATGTACATTTACACGTTAAAACCATATAAATATACATATAGGGGCGCATTGAATACTATTTTACTCATCAATACATGGTGTAGAGTAGTTACACGCACGCCTTATTTAAACAGAAACCTTGTCAAGCAATAACATATAATATCAAAAGCAGGTACTCAGTATTGTATCTACATGTAGTGGCAGATCTGCAGAATACCACGAGGCTGAGCTGCGACACTGAAAACTTCACACAACTCCATAAAATTTACGGTGCCCGTATTTATATCCTCTGGAAAGTCTTCAGGTTTAATTATCGGTCATTTATCAATTTTACCGGTCGCGGGTTCATCTGCACTTCCCCGGTCAAATATCTCCAGGCTGAATGGAGGCTGGAGTGCGTGTAACATGTACACAAGACCTTCCATTTAGATATTCTTTGTTTTTATAATTTAATTTTGGCTTCTTGCCTTTGGGCATTAATACATGTACATAATATCATGAATATTGATCGATCACACTTGCCACAAATAATTACAGGGAATAAATAGTCTCAATCGTGGCGCCGCCCATGCCCTATATTATTATGGTATGGAAATTGTAGTACATGTAGTATGTAGTACACCGGCCTAGCTTAGGTATATATACATATAATTATATAATCTATATATCATATCATCAACAATTATACTAGACAATCTAGATACATGCGTACATACATGTATGTACGTAATATACATACATACATATATACATGTATCGACCACAGTTAAATAGTCGATTTAAACGTGGGCATGGCCGTTTATAGATCTATAGAGTACTTTATATAGCTATAATTATATTACATACCTACATGACGTGCGTTGTTTACATCTCATTTTCCTGTCTAGTAGCTAGTAGCACGCATCTATAGCTATATATACATGTAGTTTAGGAGTACATACGTACATGTATCATTATTGGTCTTTTAGGTACTACATGTAGT